GCGCTTAATTTAAAACGTTTGCAATTGCAAACAACGCGCTTATTCAGCAATTAAATGTCCATACAGTTTTCGTGATGAGTGTTTAATGGAGTTGTTTTCAGATTATAGAGTGAGTGACATAAATAATGTCTTATACAATTTTATTGTTGATTGGGATAATAATAAATATAAATACAAACCCTTTTTCATAATATAATGTGTGGGGCACTGACTTGGCCTTCAGGAGTTCTTCATTCTATATCTAATATTGAATTTATTAATAAATGTTGAGTACAACATAACAAACACATGAGGACATACCTGGTATATTATTAATTCCCCTGAGAACTTCTTGGTGGTACTGAAGTGAATGTTTCTACATCCAAAGTTGAATGTTGTTTGGTTTATTTCATTGTAGAATTTGCTTGCTAGTGCATGTGACCCAAAGTGTATATGCCCATAACTGATCATTAGACAAACTGTCAGATTTAATTCATTACATTCACCATCAAATAAAGCACACTATTATTTTTATACCTTTTTTCTGTCTTTTTAATTATATGTATGAATCTGATGGGAGTAACTGTTGATAGCCATGTATCTAGTTGTTTTGCAGTTACTCCCATGATCTCCCCTGCCACTAACACTGAGTGCTGCAGCTGCCTGCAACATGAATTGTTATACAACAGTGGTGGTGTGTAATTCCTATATTTATAAATTAAATATTAGCATTAAGATCAGAATGATACATACAAAGGTAGTGACAAAATAAGGCTGCGTGCACAAAAGCACAGGTGAATGCACTACCTGAGGGTAGAGGTGAATGCACTACTACTACTCGAGAGTAGAGGTGAATACACTACCTTTTACTTTGATATATGGGGACTGGACTATCAAAATGATGGTACTTGCATGATGGGCGATCATGAGAAATTTGATCACAAAGATTTGGGGATCGTTTTTAACAGTGATGGACCCTCCAAAGATAGACCCCAAATTGTTATCTGCCAATGAGTGATGCTGTGATTGCAGGTGTTGCTGTGTGTTTGCTGTTGCTATCCTCATTATGTTTATTTGGTTATAAAACTATGACTTAATTATTTTATTTGTTTATAATATCTACAAATTAAGCCTGTCTTAAACAATTATCACACATTGTTAAATCAACACTAAACCCAAATGTTTTATTATACAGAAAAGGCTAGTATATTTAATATTGTCTGGACTGTATCTCAAAACATACTCTTCACAGACTTTTTTCTAATTATCACCCCACTTCCAGCTTCTCCAAGAAATATGATACAATAACACTTCTCAATTAACATGGAGTAAATCAATACATAAAGCTACAAGTTTAATAATTAAATATTAATATACTATATGAACCTAAACCTACACAATAACTGGTCTAATTACAATGCATTACTTATCAACAACAATAATTTTGATTCATCCACAAGGTGCAAGATTGATGTCCCAATTTAATGACCAAACAAACAAAAGACATCATTAATTTACATTTTATTCTAATGTACTTTTGATCATAAGTTTTTTACGAGTAAATTATTTATTTGAAATTTATATTTTAATGAATGTACTTGGTTACATCTTTTTACCTTGGTCGAGATTTAATATTAATTAAGCAAATTAATACAATAAAAAAAAATAATAACAATACGATATAAACAAAAGCAAAACGCATGGATAGAGCTATTATTTAGTGGGTTTAACTTAATAAAATTAATTAAATCCGAGTACATGTTTAATTCATCCGTTAGGATAATGTTGTACTCAGATGTGTTTGCTCTAGCTTTTGCGTTTGGAGTAAAAATGTCCACATCACTTTGAGCTAACACTTTTCTGTGGTCGTAATGAGCTATCAAGATAGTGATAGTTTTGTTTCTATCAAATCTTGATAGAGTTTCTTCGAATGCAGTTACATCTTTGGTATGGATGGTGTTTTGCTTTGTGTCTGCTTAGCTGTGAAGTCTTTTTTTCATAGCTCTTCATAAATGCCAATAACACAGCTGAATTTTTGCTGTAGACCAAGTTTCTTTTGCAGCATTAATTTGCACCCAATCCTTATCTGTCAGGAAAAAATCTGGACTTTGCAGACCATTGTGATATAATGTGCTGAAAATTGAATAAGTGCTGACATCTGGGCTCTGCTGCAATATCAAGGAATAAATATGTCATTGGATATCCAGCTTCATTAATTTGCCTAATGATAGCATAAAGTTCAAAGCTGAATGCATTCATTTGGTGTATATATGTGCCTTTTACTTTAGCAAATTTTTCAGAAAACACACTTCCCTATCAACTTTTGTGAAATGTTCAGTGACTACTCAATACATCTGTATGATATATAATCCTTATCATCATGTTCAATAAGTGTCATGATGGGTTCATGATAATTGCTTATTATTATTGTTCACACTCTTTATTTTGATTCAACCATTTCATGTAGATAGTTGTTTGCTGTAATCATCCAAAATCCAATGTGCAACATCTCTCCATGCCCATACTTGGCTAATTGTCTGTATTGTAAACAAAATCAATATTCATTCTTCAGCATCATATGTGATAGTGGCTGCTGTCATTGCTCTAATAGTAATAGATGTTTATTGAAGATTCTATTGAGAATGCCATTCATCTCACTATACTAATACAGAAGTATGTAAGAAGATGATTATAATTAGAGCAAATGATAGATAACCATACAAATTGTTGCTGTCACTTCCATCCCAGTATTGCAATCCAAATTACCAATCTCTGTGTTTGTACTCAGCATCATCTTGGGTTCTGTCATTATATCAGACAGGGTTATTGGCTCCATGAGGTATGATCTGATAAGATCCCAAGTTATTTTTGATGTCACTGACATCTTCTGAAAATCCACTGATGTCACTTGTGCCATCCTCATTGTTTGATTGGATGGTCTGATCAAATTCTTGCCAGATGAAATTTGTATTTGGTGTGTATTCAGGGCTGGGTGGGAGTGTTTTTTAGTGCCTCATTTTTCCCTCTTACTCTATTGTTAGCATAGCATTAGTATTAGGGTTTGATGTGTCTCCATCCTCATCCATCTCAGTTATTACAGTTGGGTATTCTACCAAATTTGGTCAATGCAGATCACACTTTTTATTTTATGTTAATAAAAAACATCTAGACTCCAGGATTATATTACAGAACATGTGCCGTTTTCCTAAATTTTATAATCATACACTCACCAGCAAAAAGTATTGACTCAAATCTTGGTGTAACACAACACCGCATAAAATCCGTTAACTTCGATGGGCTATGCTGTGACAACTTACTAATAAATTTTTAATAAAATTTATATCATTCAAATCAGAATATCTTAAACTTTTATCAGTTTTATTAATAGGGTGTTGGGTTGCCTTTGCTTGCAATTACAGCTTTAATTTTACGCAGCATACTTTCTACCAAATTTTCTAAATAATTTGGGTTGAGTTTCAACCACTCCTCCTTAACAGCAGCAGCTAGTTCACTAAAGGTTTTTGGTGGAGTCGTTTGTCCACGAATCCCTCTCTCTAATCTGTCCCAAACATGCTTGATTGGATTGAGATCCGGACTCTGTGTGGGCCATGAAAATGATGTTATCTTATTTTCGTCTTTCCATTTAGCCACTTTTTTGCGGTATGAATTGGGGCATTATCTTCTTGAAAAATATAAGCATTTGGCTCCAGTTGACTCAAAAAAGGTAA